AAAGCTTGGGATGAAGCATTCGTACCATTCCGAATCGTCTCAGAGTAATTATACCAGAGATACTAGTACAACATTTGTTCTCAGTGATATTGAAAAAGAGCATTCCATGATATTTAAGACTCCAGAAGATGAAGATATTTCTCACATGTAAGTAACAGCATTAATGCATGAATCCAATGTTTGTTTTCTCCATTAATGCGAATCGGATAGTGATTGATTACAGTGTTGAAATCAACAAAGTTTTACTTCATACAATTAATAATATTCTAAATAAATCTAATCAAATTCTTTCTTTATGAACACTATCAGTGCTATGTAATATTTGTATACAAGGTTTGATACACATCGTTCATTTTATTCAAGAATGAGATGTTATGCATTTCATGATATTTTTGGACTTCAGTGTTAAACACACGACAAAAGCTCTAAAATATAATAATAGAAAAAGAACATGTTTGTTTCCTAATGAATCAAACTGGCTAACAAGTATGAATCATACAGTTTTCTGTACTTACTACTCGTTTGAACAAACACAAGATTTTTGGTTTCACATTCATAAGGAATACAGTCCATTATTTTGCTTAAACACAAAAAAGACATGGAAACATATATATACATATACTAATATAGTTGTATTGGACACAACAGTTGGGATAATAATTAATTATATTACTATCTTATATTCCTCAGAAGCGTCAATTCAAATGAAAATATTCCACAGTCGGTTCCAGATTATGATTGCGTATACATCGGCGTCCCAGTGCATGTGTGTTTACCAATAACGTCAAAATATGAGGGCGAAGATTCCATTGATAAAGTAGATAATAGTGTCGTGGACGATGGAAGTGGAGCACAGTTATTAGACCAAAAGGAAGATTATCAAATGGCCAAGGGGAAAAGTATCACAGATACGGAAGAGATAATCAGTACTATAGGTATCACATAATATTACAGATCTAAACTACTATTTCGTGAATACTGTGTTTAATGTACTGCAAAACAATTCACACTCACTCAGTTCGTCGTTGGCTTAAACACTCTAAACTTACGTAAGGAATACAACGTCACGTACTTGTTTACGTCCTTCCAAAACGGAGATATTCGCCTTTACCATGTTTAGTTCAAGGGTATGTTGTCTAAATTTATGGTTATCTGAGCTGATGACTACTTCTTGCCCCATATTCAAATTTACACACACTTGGTATAAATACGTGTCAACCCTATTATTTAAGAGAAAGAAAAACACTGTTTTTTCCATTGCTCCCATATGAATCACCGCAGCTAACTAAAAATGTATGCTTAATTGCATGTCTCGTTGTTTAGTATAAACTGATACAAATTTAATTATTATATATTTTCTCGGTGAAAAAAAACACGATAGCTTGTTATGTCTGTTATAATCATAACACGCACAATGTAGAAGAATTGGAGAAAAGTATACTCCTTGCAATTTACGGTTGCATGGCGATTTTTATCTTTGTTCAGCATAGCATATAACTCCACCTCTACAGTAAGGCGACAGCACAGTCTATCAACGATGCTACAGTATAAGTAAATAAGGAGTAACATTGATTTTATTTTTTTTTTCAGAAATGCCGCTGATAGAAACAACGCCGTATTGGTGATCCGTATTATCGAACTGTATATATTTCTGCCTGTATTATATATAGATAATGCTGTTAGTCATCCGGGAAAAGATAACATTTCGACTTGTCAATAAAGACTGGTTATCTTCTTATGACGTCACAAACTTATGCATTGCGAATCAGGCAACGTTCGCGAAATGACACAACAAATCGAGTTCATTCATATATTATATTGAATATG